ATTGATCGGCCACTTTGGGCCCAACGGCATGGGCAAGCATTGGCGCGTGTTTCAGATGGTCGAACATGCTGATTTTTGTCCTGGTTCTAGCGTGTTTCAGATGGTCGAACATGCTGATTTTTGTCCTGGTTCTGGCACTATGCAAGGTGATGGACCTTCTGCTGAACTTTTCCTTGAACCTTACCATCCTCAACTGGATTTCTGGGCAAATGATGTGGCCGTTAACGATCCTCGACAATCTCTTGTCGCAACCTGTCGTTTTCTGTTCGGAGAGGACAAGCAAGATTTATCTATGGCAACTTTTGCTGACGACATCAGTCGTATCTCTTTGGGCCAGACTTCTGCTGACCTATGTCTTGCACTCCAGGTTGCCAACGCCAGCTTGGATAGAAGATTGTGGGAAATTGAGCTGGTTCAAAACATTCAAAAGCAGGAACATGTTGTTTACTTTGGCGGTAGCGGTAGTCAGCAACACTATGAGACAGTTTATGGCGACTCCTACTTGCCTGGTCAAACTGTGCAGTCGGCAGGGTGCTCGGGCTTACTACGCCGGAAATAACTTTGAAGAAGTCAATGTCCGCCTTAGCCACGCGCAACTGGGTCCGCATGGGGCGCTTCTGGTTCCGCTCTGGCACTACAAAACGCGGCAAGACTTTGCTGTACTCTGCCCTGGTGCATTCTGCTTTGCTTTCTGGATTGGAAACACTTGTTCTGGAGCCCCACAAAATTACTCAACTCAACACCTTGGTCCTTCGCCATGGGCGCAAACTCATGCAAGGGAAGGCCTGCGAAAAGCATACCAACGCTGATGGCACCGTCGCATACAAGGCTTGCAGGTCAAAAGTTGTTTGGAAATGGCTTGGGCTCTGTCCATGCGAGTTGGAGTTACAAGTTCGACGGCTCCAATGGTATCAGCACTTGGCACGAGACAAGTATAAACACAAGTGCGTTCTCATGGCAATGTTTGGGAAGCTTGGATGCGAGCAGCGTGAAGCTGTTGATCTTCAGGGTTGTGTTTTGCCACACGCCAACCCTTGGGCGAAACAATTTTACACCGACATCCAAAGTCTGCGTCGCATTGATGCGGGTCAATCACTGCTGGATTATTTGGGTGAGCGGGTTCTTTTGGTTTTTACTTCTTTTACTCCGGAGTTTTTGGCTGTGGATTTGTCTGCGCTGCGTGGCACGTATGATCCAGTATGTATTCCTCCACCAGGCTGGGTACCTCCTGTCCCAGAGGTCCATTCTTCTAGCCCTTCTCCGGAGCGTGAGCGACCTTTTGTTTGTGACTGCACACTGGCGGATGGAAGTATATGTGGTGTGGCTTTTTGCACTGCCAAAGCTTTGGCTGCGCATAAGAGCCCAACCAAAGGCGGCACACATGATGCAATGTCTGACATATCTATGGTGGCCCTTACCAATGCATGCCCCTGGTGCAAGAATATTTTATCCTCCAAGTTTTCGGCGCGGAATCATATCCGCCGCACTCAAAGAGGGCCGATGCGGCGGTCCCGGCAGTCGAATCTTTTTTGACATTGAAGTTCCTGAAAATTTGCAACGCCGAGTATGTGAAGAAGTTTTTCAGAATGTACATGAACTTTTGGACCATGTTGTCACACATGTGTCTTTGCAGCCGCCTGCAGCACCAAGTTAGACTGAATCGGGATGACGCAGTGCTCATGTCTCTTTCTTCTTGGGCCCAACCTTTGCTGGAGGCGGATGGCAGCCTGCCCAAGCGCCAAGCTGCCGGTAGTGAGAAATTTCTCATGAAGGAATTCAGATTCTCACTAAGCTCGCCCTCAAGAATGCCATGGATGTCCGCGAGCTCCTGGCTGCAAGCCTTCTTACGGTGCAGCTTCCTAAAGACAATGCCTTTGTTGTCAAAACATGCTCAAGGCTACGAAGATGTTCAATGAAGAGCAGGAGAAAGCGAAGTCTTCCGGTAGCGCCCCCCCTGATGGGCAGCCGCATTGTCACGCATGGATGGCACTGATAGACAAATTGAATGGCATGGGCTCAGGTTCGGAAAAAGAAACCCTTCAGCGACATGTCCATGACAGTTTCTCAACACCGGGGGCTGTAGCCTGCTATGTTCATGTCTGTAGACTGAAGAAGTGTTATGATCAGACAAAGATGAGGTTATGCCTTGCGACTTGTGAATCAGTCGGACCCGTGCTGCAAATTTTTGAGACTCACGTGAAGCAACACAGTGGAAAGGTCTTGCGTGGACAAGCACCGAAGGGGTGCCTTGAACGTGATGCTCAGCAATTTCTTGATCAACTTTCTGATATGCTGAAATAAATATTTGATTTTGGTCCCGACGCTCTGTCGGCCGGTTTGCTCCCTTTCGCTCGTGATTTTTTTATTCTCCTTTTTGATTGAATGGGGAGAGGCAGTGCCGATGTTGGGCCAGTGCCCTCTTGGAAATGCTGAGGGAGTGCAGTGAGCACTGTTCAGATCACTTCTGGACAGGTTGGGTCACACACGTATGGCCCTGTCTCAGCTAGCATGCACACATGCGAGAGCTGCGAGAAGAAGAAGAAGAAGTTACATAATACTGCCCCATGAAAATGACCCCAAGGAGGATCCCCATATGTACTACCTATTCCAGTCTCCATATGAGGTGGGATCAAAATAAGTGTAGACTACTTTAGTCAGGAGAGGTCGATGTGGATGGCTTAGGGTGAGGATGTACTGGAAACCGATAAGGTCCCCCCCCAAAACCGATAACCTATGTATGATATTGTATGATGGTTTTTATTATCATTCCTGACATCCTTGCAGTACCTGTTGCATGTCGAATGAAAGCCCCACTGACAGTACCCTAGTGGACGGCTTCAGCCATATGATATGGAATCAAGATGCTTGTTGCTGTTTTTGTTTATTTTTCTAATCTGCAACCATTTCTTGAAACATCCGGATTCTACGTGGGCACAATGCCGATAACGAAACCGATAACTCGCCGATAACCGTCTGGATATGTTTTCAGCTTTCATAGCCACTTGCCCAGAGCCTGCTGACAAGACAGCTAAATTCCTTATCGAAGACATTGGTCTAGCCTTTCTTTTTGAGAACTATACATGTTAGCATTTTACATCCCAGCAAACAGAAGGCCGATAAAGATTAGAGATAGGTACACAAAATTTCACAAACCCACTCGAGATTGCAATGCCTTTGTCCGTGCTGACACGCGAGCTGTGAAGAAGCTCGTCATCCATTGCTTCTGATTTCAGCGAGTAGATAGCTCCGCTTCATGCGTCCACAATGTAAATGCGAATGCCAAAAGCATCTGGTTGAACAAAAAACTGAAAACCGATCAGGTCTCCCCCAAAACCGATAACGATCAAAAACATCCTTAGCATAAATAATTGATCTTGACCGTGGCTCATATGGATCTGGAATTGTTCACCACGCAGGTGCTCACAGAGCCTCGTGCTCTTCTGACGGAGCGGAGGAGCTGCGGACCTGTCGGTGTATGGGCGGTGGGGCACCAACCAGTCACAGAGCTCGGGGTGCCGAGCAAACGGAGGATAGGAAGTCGGGGTTCCGAGCGGCCCGATTCTTAGTAGGGACCCATGTTGGCCCTGAGACCTTGCGGGGTGGCACTCATGGGACTCTTCTAGTGGTCCCGCATTGCGGGCTATGAGTGGAATGAAGGAATGAAGGGTGCCCGAACGTCACATCCACTGGATGGGACTTTGTGACTCTTGGAAGTTTGTTTCATTCAGTCGGCCAACTGGAGGCCAGTGCAAAGGGTTACTTTTTTGGGGGTGTGACGGAATGGCTACAGGTTTGAATTGAAGTCACGTACGAGTCCTTTGTTTGCTAAACTGGGTGCTAAAATGTTCCCATCTGTTAGAGTAGCCCAGCCCAAACGGTACTGTAGTCATGTTGTTTCGGCACCACCTTGGAACCATTTTTGGCTGCAAACAGTCATGGCACACATAGTCCCTGACTCCATAAGCCAGGCAAAGGCTTAAAGGCATGGATGTTCCAAGTTCCAAGTACCTGTATCCCAGTACCTGTACTGTACATGTGAAGATTGTTTGAAAAGGTTTGAAATGGATTCGTGGTGATACAATAAGTTCATGTCCCATTTGTTCTCGGGCTTTTCGGGTGTGTTTTTGTTTGTTGCGGATGAACGGCAGTTCCCGGATGGCTGCTTGCTTCGAACTGCAGGGTGCGGGTGAGCTGCCAAGCTGAGTCATTAAACTGCCATGTCCTGTCGGTTGCTTGCAGTCACGCAGTAGATGGGCAGTAGCTTATTTATGCACCAGGACAAGTTACAATTGCAACCCGAGCGTAGATATTCGGTTGTAGATGATCATTATCCCTCAGTATTTTTTTTTTATAGGTAGACAGTAGACAGTATATATACAAATAGGATTTGGTGGTGGCATTGCAAAACATCCGCTGGCGCTACCGCTTCGCATCTAGAATTTTGACACTCATTCCCAAACACCAAAAAACGGAGGCAAAAGAGAGCAAGTTCCCAGACCATCCATGGGACTGGAATAGCTACCTACATTGGGGTCATGTTCATGGGGTATAACGGTATATGTATGTACTTTTCCAGTCCCATGGATGGTCTGATGCCTTCCCCGTGCCGCAGTCCCCGTGCCGCCCGGGACTCGCAACTTCCCCCTACGCAGCTGTTGTGCTCGGCATGGACAGTCAAGACAGACATGGTAGCGGCTCAAGTAGGTGAAGTGTGGACTTCGAAGTCCGTGTATGAGATCTTAGCAGCTGTAGTATGCTGTGTTATGTTATACTTATGATGTTCTATCTGCCAACTGACTTGCAAGTTCGAACACATATTTCCCACCCTCCTTCCTGCATGTTCTTAATCAGATGAGTCGGATCCGTTGATCCTTGTGTTCTTCTCTTCATCCACTCTAGCCAGTATCACCCCTCTCAACCACTGCGTGAACATCCTGGATCGAACCCCAACACGGGGCTCCTGGCCTTACTACTAGGAACCAGCTTCGCTGCTCCATTCGGATCGGATTGCACGCACGCGTCACGTCCCCCGCACGCCTGTCGGTGGAACCAACACGTCCACGGCGGGCGAAGCCGGACACGTCCACGGCCATTCGCCCCGGATGGACTTCATCCCGGATGAGGCGATCCAGGCCCTGGCAGGGCACCAGTGCCTTGCACAAAGGGGTGCGGACCGAGCTGAGCCGAAGGACGCAGCCGTGAGGTTGCGGTGTGAGCTCCCGCGGTCGCGGTGATCGGTGAAGCGAGGTTTAGCGAAGGAGCTCGGTTGCCAGTAACAAGGGGGGAAGGTTGGCGTTGCTAGGAGTTGGGTTAAAGAATGTGCCAGGTTTGGTTGAAGAAGGTCGGAGCAAAAGCATGGGCCGCGGTGAGCCCGATGTGAAGTTCCCTAGAAACTTGTTATTTCGTCCATCAAGCTATGGTGATGTCATCTCCAGGACTCGTTCTGGGCCTTTGTTCCCACATAGCCACCCGTTGGGTGTGTGTTGTTGGACAACTAGTGGATGCTTTTTTTCCATGTCCCTTCCTTCCTACCTCAAATAGATCCCTTTCTGTCTCAGTAGGACACACGGCTGGTCACGATCGTCTTCTTCGATTCTCGTTGGTGCTGCCTTGAAGCGAGACCAGACGGTATCACTGGGCGAGACCTGGGTTTGGTCTCATTTGATGTCCTATGTTGGTCCTGTTGTCCTATGGGTATGCATACAGCATATATACTTATCAGCATATAGTAATGCATAATTAATGCATATATCAGCATATACTTATCTTACTTAACATCTTTCGTACCATGCCACACAGAGCTTCCAGTACTTCAGGATCCAGGTCGGTGCTCCACTAAGTGCTGAGGTTCCAGTCAGCTGGATCTACTTGGCTCGATGCTCCTTGGTTTGGATAGTCGGCCAAAGAAAGGCGAAACGCTGGGCAGGTGAATCATATGCCCCAGGGATCCAGTTGTACCTTCTCAGGTTCAGTGCGACTGGACCCTCCTGGCACCTACATAACAGTGTCTCCTTCCTCGCCCAACCTGAGAAGGAATGACTGGATCCCTAGGTATGTAATCAGCTTGTGAAGGAACATGACAGTGTCGCCAATCTCGGGCGATCGAGCCGAGCCCAGAAACATCAAGAGTCACAAGACCAAGGGGAGTACCAGGGACCCGATGCAAACTGGAAGAAACATACAAAATGGATATTACAATATAATACTATGTTGTAGTGTATTATGATTATATCAAGAATGGATATTACAATATAATATCATTATATTTATGTTGTATTGTATGATTATATCAAGAATGTCCTGGAGTCTCAGTTCGTACCTCGGAAGATAGGAAGGTTTTCTTGTTCACGTCCCTTTTGTGCGGTTCGGTCGGACCCCTGAGCCACGGGTCCAAGAGTCTCCCGCGGGAGGAGGCGCGCCTCCATCGCCCCAACAGAAGGATTCCGAGAAGTTTGGCTGATCAGGTGATTTGGTCGTTTTCAACTGGGTGAATCCCCCGAACCTGGGGAATATGCATGATTGTTTGTTCCAGGAACCCTCGACCGCAAATTCCAAGTGGAACCTTTTTGCCCCAGCGGCCATGACTTCAAGATGATCGTGAAGCATGGGAGGCTCAGCTGGGGAAAGTCTCATGACACAACCATTGAAAGCCAGGAGGCAACCTCCGGTTGCTGGGTTTGAAGAACTATGTTTGACAATGAGAGGCTGCATTGAAGGCACCCCTCCTTGACATTTCGGGATCTGGCACCCCGACCACCAACATGGAGAACCTGGTTTGTCAGCAGGTTTGGGCGATTGATTTGAATCGCTCGATCAATTAAGGCTGCGGTTTGTAGCCCATTTCAAACAATGAAAGGCACATGTGGAGTCGGGTGCATTTTGTGTGGAGGATTAACGAGGTTGGGGTTCCGGTTCCAATCGATCAGTCACTAGAAGCTCTATAGAAGGGTGTCAATCCCATGACAGAGAGTATTTCCAACCTCAGTCGGAACATCCCAGGAGTTTCCCTTCTTTCTGTTTTTTTGGTATTTGTGTTGTTGTTTGTCCTCAAACTAACATGGCACAACCATGTTATTTATTTTTCACGGCAGGATTCAGGATTCTTTGGAACCATCACTCCCTCAATTGCAGATGACCCGTTTGGGGCTCCTGGCATACATCCTCAGGTTCGGTATGACTGGGCCCTCCTGCCAGCCACAGTCCCACTTTCGAAGGTACGACTGGAGCCCGTTTGGGCCCAAACGGGTCAGGAGGGCCACCCTAACCAACCAAACGCCTCCAAGGAGAAGATGGATCCTTTCTGGACAGGTCTCTTCGCCGCATGCGGTCGCCCTCCCGTGCGGTCGCCCTCGCGTGCGGTCGCGCTTGCAGCTACGTGAGAGCCGAAGGTGATCGACGGGACTGGACGTGGTGCTTTGCGGCAGGGACCTGGACCCAGCTTTGTGTACTATAGACAATGTGATCATGACCCTACAAAAGCAGGTATATATGTACTTGTTTGTACCCATTTTCTGAAGTACTCTGAGGCTCTAGGGACACGTGTATGGAGTGTTTGGGAGAGTTTTTTAAAGCTGGAGTCTTCTTTCTACAGTCAGTGTGCATCAACTCAACCAACTCAGCAGATGAACGTTGAACCCACTCAACCGTTAGCTTTTCGGCAGATCAAACAGGAGGCATCCATGAGACTGTACTAGTTTACTTCTATATATATATATGATACAGGGCCATCAATGGTGTTGAATGTTTGCAACTATTATCAACTATTCCATAGATGGATCATCTGGGACCAACACCAACCTCACATCGCCCACATCGAGGTGTTGCCAAGCGCATCCCGCGCTCGGTCTCGCCGAACCTCATCTCCGCCACCTGCCTGACGATGGCCGGCGCGTTTTCGATGGCCCATATAGAGCTGCCAGGTGGAAGAAGTTGTGCTTGATAGACCCCACCTCAGTGGGCAGTTAGTTTGTTTTCAACATCCATGTGCACAATTTGGGCAAATGATCTGAAGCAGTGCGGGATGCAGAAAAACTGAGTTGCCACTGAAGTAGATTCCATTCTCATTCCACCCTCGCCTAAAGCTGAGGAGGCTAGGTGTGCAGGCTCTCATGCAGCTGGAGTTGAGGTTGATTGCCCAGGAGCTCCAAGTACCTCCAGAGAATGTGCTCGAAGGTGTTCGGGATAGGTTTCGAGGGTCAAAACAGCTTCTGAGCAAGCACTTGGAACCCTAGGGTTGATGTATTTTTACATGTGTTTACGATCACAGGAGAAAGGTATATGCTCAACTTTGATTTCGATCTGGTGGCTTCGCAAGAACGGCAAAGAACAGGCTCTTGGTCTTGGGAAGCATAGTCACTCTAATGACAGAGTTCCGCCACAAAGATGGAGTGGCTTTTGCTGATGCACTTGGTCACTTGGATCCATCGGGAAAGTGGGAGTCACAGGATTCACTGTAGGGAACCCAGGACCTCTGTGTCGTTTTGGTGGCACTGGGTCGTTTTGGAGGCCATAACCCCTTTGACCTGGACCGGCGGTCGTAGACCTTTCTGGTTCGATCGTTTTAGTATACTCCCTAGGGATCCAAGTAAGTACCTTCTCAGCAGGTGAAGACGGAGACACCGCTATGTAGGTGCCAGGAGGGTCCAGTCGTGCCTTCTCAGAAGGTACAACTGGATCCCTAGGGACTAAGCTTAGTATACCTTCTGAGGTCGGAGTCCTAAGGCAGCGACCCCGGGCTCCCCCACGACGTGCCCCAGGTCATCGGCGGCCTTTGTTGCGCGCTGGCCGCGGCCTTGACGGTGGTCGCCAACCGTTGCTCGGAGTGCGGGGGTGCCAGGGCAAGTGCGGCGTTGACGGAGGTCGCACATTGCAAAGCACATGGGAGCTATATGGAGCTATTGGATCCATGGTCCAAATACAGTCTATGGAGAGTATTATAGATGGCACAGACCCCAAGAGGTGGTTTTGATGGACCCCCATGCGGATCTGTTCTTCTCCCTTGAACAGCAGCTGGCTGATCGAACTTGTTGTGCTCAGCCACGTCCCCGAAGACGGAAGCCGAACAGATCCGCAAACAACGCAAGCAGGAGTCGCACCAGCTAGACCCATTCCGTGCATAGCTTGCAGAAGGGACTGGTCAGACCCTCCGTGTTGCGGCCGGACTCGACGCATGGAGCGCTCGCTCCACGCAGCCTTCGGCTGGCTGCGCGAATTGGATCCAGTTTTCATCCGAGGTATATTTATTTATGATATGCTTGGGACAGTGAATTCTCTGCCGTGCCAACAAGTGCAGCCCAGTGTGGCTTCAAGACACACACACACACACTTGCCAGAGGAATCAGAGGAAGAAGGCTTCCAAAGCAGGGTTGCTTGTTCTGGCCCCTCTGGCTCAACGAACTTCATGTTTGTCACGTTCTTCTTGAATTACCTTTGTCTATACACTCCATGACTCCATGTAAATAGAATATTTACCATCGGTACGTTGTCTCCTCAAAGTATCCCAATGTTGGTAGTATACACAATACATTACATGGCATGCGTGGTGTGCCATTCGGGTTGTGTATGATTTGTTTTTGTTTCCGTGTGTTTGTGTGTGTTTGTCCCATGTCGTCACGAACTTTGTCATCGGATGGGACGATGCCGAGCTGCTCTACCAAACGATGATCACAAAAGCTCTTAATATTGGCCCCCCAGAGTTGAGGATACGCTTGAAATCGGTTTTGCAAAGACATCCACATGGAAGTCACACACAAATGCTGCTAAGGTAAAGGATGTTTGCAAGCCCAACATAATATTGCACTGCAATATGCCTGTCGATCTCTGACATTTTCTGGAACATGTCCTTCCTCTTCAGGTAGATCCTGTATATGACGTACTTGGCTAGGACTTGATGGTCACGCTCTTGTAGATTGACCCGGATTCTGGGCGGCTAGAGCTTGTGCATCGACTCCGGAGATGCGGAGATCGGATCGGAAGATGGTGTTTTGCGCGATCTGTGATGAAGGTATGATCGATGTATGCCAGACAAAATGTTCGCACAGATTGGAAGGACACTTGAAAAAATCAAAACAAAAAACAGTCTCATGTGATGTTTGAAAACACGGTGGGCAAGGGGATCGCAGCTGGATGTGATGTTTTTGAACGGCCCCCGCCGCCTTTGTTCTTCCTCCGGAGCGAAGTCGCTCGTCTCCCGAGCAGAACCCGGTCGCTTCTCCCGGCTCCGCGGCGGCCCATCCGAGGCTGGAGACGGGCGCCCTTGTACTTTGCGGGGCCTGCGCTGATCTTCGTGCATCTGGGTCGCGTCAAACACCACCGGTCGGTGGCGTCAAACACGTTCTGAACTATAGAGTCTATAGACTTGGGGGACGCGGGTCTGGACGACCGCGGGGTTTCAAGCCGCTGTTCTTTTGTGGTTCGGGCGCGGAGGGGGTGGATGTGTGCGTGGTGAGATAATCCAGTTTAGGCGTCAAATGACATCCCGATCTCGGAGATGTAGAAGAGATGGCACCTCTTTGGGCCCTGGAGCCTTGGCGAAGTCAGAGTATATAGATCACCATGTCATTGTTTTTTTCTGATTGAACATCTTCAGGAGTCGTTCGATCGACAAATGGTATTGAAATATTTGTTAGTTTTACTATATGCAACCCACGCCCAAGGTTGTTGGTTTTGTGTTTCAGTTATTTATCTATATATATATAACATAAATACATTTTTTTATTGCCTTTTGCGTGCAACAACTTGTGGTGATCGAGCCTGGTTTGTTGGCTTAGCAGGTTTCATAGTTGTTGTGAGGCTTGACAATTGAATGCAGTTTAGGGCCACATGAAGGAATGCTGGATCATGAATCAGCAACTCCATGTGTCTCATGAGCGGCCACTTCATTCATTCACAAAGCCTCTTCTGAGTCAAAGGTATATTGAGTAGATCCAGACTCCTTCTCACACTGGGTGCCTTCAGTTCGATAGGCAGTGTCACTTCGATCGTTTCTGGGAACGTGAGTACGCCGGTTCGTACCGCCGAAGAACAGGAGGGTTTCACCAGGAGCATGGCCTGGAGTGCAAGGAGCATGGCCATGTCAACAAGTAACCATTTCTCATTGGGTCTATGCAATTCCAGAATTTGGGTTGCTTTGTTTCACAAGTGCTTCGTCTTGGGAACCACCATCCTTCATTTGTCGCGTGTCGTGCGGTTTTTCAGGTACATGACCTGCGATGCAGTGGATGGGAAGCACGCACGCAACACCAAGCAGAGTACACCCTTGGGCGCGGTAGCGGCATGTCTAACGCTTCCGAGAGCGAGAGATGCCATGGTTATGCCTAACAAGCTCCAAGTGCAGACGACGAGTCTGCGGTTTACGACCAGAAGAGAAACAAAAACAAAGAACATCAGACAAAAACGGTATAACTATATACTTGTACTCATCTTACGAGGGTATGAAATGGCTGAATCCAGGTGCTTCCCTTAGTGCCAACACTTTCAGGTCCTTCATGGTGAACCTATGTGAACCTGCCCAGTCCACAAACGTACGGCACTTCAGTCTGGACGCGTGCTTTGTTTGGGGTGTTTACCCGTTCATACAGCGGTTTCGCCGGGTACAAGCACCCGGACCGTCCAAGGACGCTACTAGGGGCTCCTGGCCCTACTAGTAACAAGAAGCTACGACCGGGGCTCCTGGCATCGCTACGAACGGAGCAATCGGACGCAAACCGAACGGAGTTTGTTCGCTCGAAAACATGGGACTTCGGACTAGGGACCCCCAAGCCCTCGGTCCAGAGGGTCAGGTGGACCGTCCATGGAAACTCGGTGAAGCCGAACGCACAGGTCACCGTGGTTTTTGTCGCCCACAAAGATCACAAACACAAAGCAGCTCCGAGGCAAAGACCGCCTCATGTCATTGTTGGCCTGTCCTATTACCTGTAACAGGACCCGTAAACAAGCAAATCACTATTTTTGAACAAGGCCTTTACTAACCATCATCGTTCACCGTTACAGGTAGGATAGACCAAATTCATACATAGGTGCTTTGGCGACCCCAAGGACACTTCCTTTCGGCTCGGGTGTGACTATAGGGGCTTCCCCTGTCCTGGAGCTTTTGTTCTAGTTGAACATGATGTCTGATGTGTAGCATTTTGACATCCGTAGCGATGCTCTCCGCGGAGATGAGGAAGAGCAGCTAGCTGCTAGCTGCGTTCCGCTCCACTGATTCACCTCCGATGTCCATCGCCTCCGTTCGGTCGGATCGAGTGGATCAGATCGACCGAAGTGGCCTCCCCTCCCCAGGTGGACCATGGCATCGATGCCTTCTGTGCCTTCACCACGGGCGTGGCCGTCACTGTGACGGCCGACCCGGCCTTGGAGGATCCATGGCTCATGCTGGCGCCTTGGCAGTAGGTGGAGTAGGTGGGGAGGGGAGGCCCAGAACAAAGGCTGGGAGCACTGGAAGGTGGGCTGTTACATGGATCAAAAGAGGCTATATATAACATTGTAGAACTATAAATACAACCACCCATTACATCACCTTATCCAGAATGCTTGTTCATGTCCATATGTTGGTTAGTATATCAGGAGTCTAGAGTCTATAGTCTACAGTTACATATTCTTTATAGACAGCTTATACGCAGCTTTGGACCATGCTGTTCCCACCTTCCATCACCACCAGATGAACAGCCAGACCCGCAGTTTGCCACGCCAGATGCGCTAAGCTCAGCGGCTGAGGCCTATTGCATGTTCCACGGTGCCTGGTTTTCAGCCCAGTGGGGTGAGTTGACATGGGGCTCACTCGACCAGCGTGGCATCACAGAAGGCGAGTTCGCGTCTATGCCACTTGGGAATCGAATCGCGAGAGCTGCAAACGACAAGAATGCGAAACGCGGATTAACTTATCCTGCTCAACCATTGTGGGGGATTGGTTGCCTCACTTTACCATACTTTACCAGGGTTTTCTGTCAGGAGCACTTGGATCAAGGGGCAACCTGCTTCATGCTCTAGGAACACATCTTGTTCACCCACATTGGGGGGGTCAGGGGTCAATTGTAGGCATATATACATGGACGGTTTCGAACATGACCCTCCAATTTCCAGGCAGGACTCATTTCTCCCCACACCTGGGTAGTGGAGGATTCCCACACACCTGGGTACTTCGGTGCCGGAGTCTTGCCTATTAGCCTCCGATTCTCGTCCTGAGGCTGGTGATTGCTTTGCCCGGGATTCTGGGACCCAACTTCAGAGACCATTGGATCCCCACCTGGGTTCCCCTGCTGGGTGGCCGCAAGGCGGGGGTCGAGCCGGGGGGTGAGGGTGGGGGAATGCTGGAGGTGAGAGGTCTGCAACCCGGAAAGCAGGATGGAATGTCCCTCTTTGTTGGTTGTGTCACTATCCTATGACCTGCAACAGGACCCGTCTACAAGCAAATCACTATTTGAGGGAAAGGCCTTTACTAACCATCGTGATCCACTGTTACAGGAAAGAGGATACACACAACCTCTATATACAAAAGAGGGGGTTTGAAGTGCGAGATGGTACACCACACTCTGTTAAGGTGTCAAAAGCTTCTTAGCCAAGACTACCCCAACAGGCAATAGAAGATATCAGCAGACAGAATCCATTTTCTTGGTGAAATTATATAGCTCATCACTGTGGCTTTTGCAATCAATGGATGTGGGTCACCATGGCATGCCATGGCACGATGTTTCCTTCCGGAATGAGAATACACGAGAATACACGAGTCGAGAATACGAGCGCTCAGTATGACCGTTTCAACGACTGTTTCCTTCGTTCCAGACGACCTGAGTGGTACCATCTCGATGTCTCGACCACTCAGCCCCGCACAGATCTTGCAGCCACCAACGCACCTTGACTCCGAACGGTGTGGGAGCTTTGGAACTAGGCCAACACCAGAACGCGAGGCTCAATCCTGTCCGAAAAACGGTTCGATCCTGCGCGTGTTCAACTGGAAATCCCTCCAGGTTCAGTTCGGCAAAGAATGGCAACACTACTTTGGCTTCGAAGGTAGGTTGAGGAGTCGGAGAGAACTACTCTCCAGTCCCAAAGCAACTCACGCGGAGCGTCCAGTGTTTGAGTTGCGGAACAAAACGACACCTGAACGCCGGTCATTGCAAGCCGCGGCCGTTGTGTTGGAAGGGAATGGATCTCAGCGCTGTTGGTCTGTCGGAACCTGGGCTGTTGGCAACTCTGGACCTTCAGTGACGTTTTGTTCGTGTCCCATGAAGACCACGCATGCCAGGAACCCCTGAATCTAAGACTCCAAGAGATGCAGACCATCTTCTTCAGGCTCTTTCTCACTAAGACCCGAGACTGGGGTGCTCGTCGCATGGATATGCTCAAGGCTTGCATCCACTTGGTTTTTGTATGTTCAGGCGATCTTCAGTACTTTTCATCGCCCTCATCCTTCATCCAAAGCACCCTCCTTACGCGAATGGATCGGGGATCCACAAACAATGTCCAAAGCACCCTCCTTACCACCTGATCCCACTCATTCCACTCCATGAGTGCGGCGCATTCCACTCCATGCGATCTTGCTTCAAAACATGATATGAGATGAAGAATGGCTCCTGTATTAGTTGCAAACTCTTCTTTTGCTGACAGTCAGTAGATGCTGCGCCCACGCATCTCAATCCCACACACGACAACTGGGACTGATATATACATATCATATATATATAATATATAGTATATAAATACAGAAACCTATGCATGTATATATATATATATAATTGAATATATTGCGGACATCCCTCAAACCAACCAAAGGTAGGTAAATAAGATGTCTATCTTCCATGCCTGGAGCTATTTGTCAAGACAATAGAGCTATTCTCTTCATCATCCAAACCACATCCAAGGATCTTCGTGGCACTGCTGTGCTTCTGCGTGAGTGTGTCCTTTGTGGTGCGCATCTCCGCCAAGGCGACGTGCTATGGAATGGTTGGGGCTCGGAGCCGGGAGAAGCCTATTGTTGTTTTTGGAGTCAACAAGGATAAGTACCCTGGAAAAGGGGTAAGTAAGTAATTACTTGTGTTTGGTAAGTTAGTAAGAGTCTCATGTTCTAGGGTACGAACTGGAGGCTCTAGATCGATGTGGAGAAGAGGGCAAACTGTCCGAACCGCCTCTGCAGCATTTGGTTTGGTTTCTCGCACCCGAGGTCACTTCAGACTCTAAACCTCAAGGGAGAAATTCAGAGGCCACAAAGTCGAGTTTGAGGCTTCCTTTAGCTCAGGAGATTGGCATCCCTTAGAAGCAAGCAGTTTCTTCGATTTGCAAACTTTGGAACCCATTTCACCTGTTGTTTGCGGGGGAACGCGGCGTCGCGAGACCTTCTGAGTGCCTTGGCAGGTGGAGGGAGGGATGGAGCGCTTGCAGGCGGCGGGAGCGGCGCTTTGGGGGACTGCAGAGAATGGGAGGATGTCCGGTCTCATCCGCACCGAAAAACGCGCATGGACCTGCACTGAAGCAATTTGATGCATGGACTGAGGCAACTGACACACCAAGAGGCACTGGTGACATTGACATGAGGTTCAATGTTGATCTCAAGGGCGGACATTGACACGCTCTGAGCTTGTGCAGCTTGCGCACCCACAGAGGGTGTCCCACCAACGGCCTAGAAAACGGGACATGACCGGTACCTGAGGTGAGTCGTCGTTTTCATGTCATCTCCCGCGAGTCTTTTCCTCAATCGCATGCTCTGTAAAGCATGCTAGTCATTTGATTGTATAGCAATGCTTCATCATTTGCACCCTCATTTCAGGGTTTCAACCCACTTGGCAAGTGATTCTATGCCCTCCGGATAGCCCATGGATCCGCAGGTCCACCTTTCCCAGGTCCATGAGTCCATGCATCCCTAGCCCCGGAGATCCAGGTAAGATCAGAAAAGCAAGGGCCTTTACGAAGTGTCGGAATAGGATACACCCAAACTATAGCTGTTAAAGACTTAAAACCATAGACTTAGAAACCCTACAGTATCCTATACAATATCCTATAGCCGCACTATAGCCTATAGTTCCTTTACATATAGTGGAATTCCTGGGATCCACCTGGGTAGGGTATTGGGCTCTTCATCCACCTCAAATGTTCCCTTACATCGACAAGCGGGACGTTCGAATACACATGCCGTTGCTCCCTCTTTTTAGGGATTAATTCACTCTCCCTGAAAAACAAAAATAACATGGACATGAACCATTGTCATCGTTTCAGGGCCATTTGCCACTGATTTCAGTATAGAAAATGTGTTCGATCAACCTTGATGGATGGATGTCGAGGTCATCAGCTAAAATCAAAACTGAACAAAAACGAGGTGATACCACGAGGTGTCTCTTGTGGCTTGACTCCTTGAGGTTTACCAAGTTCAAAAGTGCAAACCACAAGAGATTGAACTTGGTAAACCTCAAGGAGTCAAGCATAGTCAAACCAGATAGTCGTACCGACCACCATCCTGTCTGGTGTCCTGGCTGGACTACACTACTTGAAGATCTCCGTTGGACACCCGTTGTATGGTTAAGGAATGATGTTTGACGTTCCACACGGCTCAGTGCTATTCCCCCAGAGCAGAAAAATAGAAAAGAGTTCCCCACAGCACTCCTCAGCTCGCCTCTCACAAATCCACCAATGACCATTTTCTTTGCATCCTTGGGGGGAATTCTTCGACGTTGTCTCGGGAATGCTCCCCAAACTCAGTACTTTGTGTGTTAAGTGGACCGCTGCAAACCTTGCGCTACTGGTTTAGTAGCGAAGGGCATCGCTACTAGTAGCAAAAAGCTACAAACCTAGCTCCTGGCATTACTATACTAGTAACAAGAAGCTATGAACGTAACACGTTCATCCTGAACGACCCTGCGACCCCCTTTTTCCAAATTCCACACGAGGCGACCTACCCTTTGATCCACCTGACCTTGCACACGATGGCAGCGATGCACCTGGCCTTCTCACCTCTCCAAGGACATCATCCCCTGCTGAGTTTCACGGCGCGCCCCACCCGCGACGTCGCCACGCCACGGGTTTCGCCTGGAACGAGCCGTCTGGAACGGCCGGACCGGATGGGAACGGACGAGAATGTGTGTGTGTGTGTGTCTCACTTCGTTTCTAGGAGATTCGGTTTCTTGTTCACCAGACGCCACATGCAGGGGTTCCCTCTTTCGCATGACGGTTGATTTCCTAGTCACGCCAACGAAGCTATGGAAATCAACTGGATGGAAGTTTGGACGCAAACTTCTGTACCTGCCATTGCGCCAACACTCCACTCTCCACCGCTGTGTTTTGCTGCCATGGTAGTTCTCGTGATAGACCCCAACACCCACTTTCCCGCCGACTTGCAGCTGCATCATCGCTGAGAGTTTTTCGCAGTCAAGTGAAGCCGCAACTGTTCAAACATTCGGTTCCCACGGACTCAGCCACCATTCCGTTGCAGCGTTCCTTTCCTCGTGGATTATCTTACCGGATGACTCTTTATCTAAGTGTGTGAGCGTGATGGGCTTTTGAGGGTATGAATCGGTATGAACTCTCAAAAAGACATTTTGTTAGATTTCATGAACCTTGGAACCTTTTCAATGTGGATCATAGCAGCTCACAGCCCAGCCCAGCATCAACCATCAAGCGACGAAGTAAACATGCAAAGGTCATGGTGAACCGAACTGTCAACCGAACAGCACCAGCAAAAATGATGCGACCTTATGTCATACAGTTTTTTGCCGACGGCACAATTTTTAATGTTGTGGTGACCATGGTGCGCGGTGGTATAACTTTTGTTAAAGTTTGAGCAGCTTTAGTTCCTGGTAATGTTGTATTCCAACATGGTTTGCATGTGTACTGATATGATTCCTGACGCATTTGCGCGTCTATTGGGTTGATATGGTGGCCCAAAGCAGGGGCTTACAGATCAAACTACTTGGCATCTCCTCTTTTGTGAATCAAAGACGGGGTGTTGTCCGATTATCGCTGCCGAAAGCCGTTCCCCTTCGTCCGGAGACCTGGTGGGTCCAGCATTTTTGGGAAGGAAAATGAAACTGTTCAATCAGCATGTTGCCCACTCTCCACTTACTTGGTCAACACCATGCCTTGGAACGCCTGCATCGATGTGAATATTGCATCTCTCGAAGATAATCTGCTGGACATGATCCTTTTTCCTTCAGCTTTAGCTGTATTGACCGAAGCAAGCACAGGCACCGGCATCGTTGGAAGAGGAAAACACATTGGAAAAACCTTGGCATTGGCCAGTTCTTGGTATCAACTACCAGAGCGCCAGGGTTTATACGTATTCTTGTTTGAGTCTCAACTTCCATACAATCCTGTGTGGCCGAAGACATGGAGCGCCTTCTTTGGGGTCGTGTAAACTCAAAATCACTCATTTGCATCGCCTGAACATGTTCATTTCACAGCAACCGAACTTCCAGGACAAAGAAACAATCGACTCGACTGGCGCAGGAATATGTCGCGTGCATGATGTGACAGCAAGAATTGGACGATTTTTTTCCGGTAGCCGTGTAGCTCGGACCATGAGTTTTGTGTGATTCGAAAAGAAGGATATCCAGACCATAGATGGCCTGTTAACATTGGGTGGTAAATGTACAACCACTGGGTATAGAGTACCAAGTTAACTGATTTTCACAACAATCTGATCCGGACTACGACGTGTCCCTTGGACACGCATTTGGCTTTGGATCGAGAAATCAAATACAAATAGCTTTGGCCATAGATTTTGGACTATTGTTTGGTGTCAATGCTTGGACATACAATGAACAACTCCTGCTGAATGGCGACACAACCACCCTAGACCCTAAAGGCTTAACTTCAGAGTGTTTAAAGATATGAATACAAGAAGACTGAGACATGAATACAAGAAGACTGATTGTAAAGGCAACATATCACGTCTACTACATAGTACCCTCTCGCCAGTGACGATATTGTCCACGGACCACGAGCACTGATTCCCAAAGGTTGATCATTCGATTCAATTGATCCTTTTTTCTGAATTCTGAATCACTTCACTTCACTCGCATCCCATGCCCGGGTGTATACCCGGACCTCAAAGGGATGACAACTTCATCCCGCTTCAGACATGTGCCGCGACCGCCTCGTGCGCCGGAGCCTCACCGTGGTGTCACATCGTGTCATGCGGCCGCTGTCCGCAGCTCGGAGCTGATGAGGTGGAGGGAAGGATGATCAACACACCAACAGGAGGTTGGAATCGCTGTTCTATAGGTGGGAGGCCATTGCTAGGAGGCCATTGCTAGTAGATGCTACTAGGTTGCAGGCCATTGCTAGTAGTAGGTGGGAGGCCATTGCTACTAGATGCTATTAGGTTGGAGACCATTGCTATT